GAGCAGAGACAACAGGTTAAATTGAGGTTATGACGGGAGACAAATCCGGCTAGTCCCCGGCGAGGCGCGTCACAGCATCCGGCTCCCAGACTCAAACAGAGCGGAGACAACAGCGGAGACAGCAGTTTAAATTGAGATTATGCAGGGAATCAAATCCGGCTAGTCCCCGGCGAGGCGTGTCACAGCATCCGGCTCCCAGACTCAGACAGAGCGGAGACAACAGCGGAGACAAGAGTTTAAATTGAGATTATGAAGGGAGACAAATCCGGCCAGTCCCCGGCGAGGCGTGTCACAGCATCCGGCTCCCAGACTCAGGCAGAGCAGAGACAACAGGTTAAATTGAGATTATGACGGGAGACAAATCCGGCTAGTCCCCGGCGAGGCGCGTCACCGCATCCGGCCCCCAGACTCAGACAGAGCAGAGACAACAGGCTAAATTGAGGTTATGAAGGGAGACAAATCCGGCTAGTCCCCGGCGAGGCGTGTCACAGCATCCGGCTTCCAGACTCAGACAGAGCAGAGACAACAGTTTAAATTGAGATTATGAAGGGAGACAAATCCGGCGAGTCCCCGGTGAGGCGCGTCACACTATCCCTTTCTTTGCACACATTGATAACCCCAATACGTCGCTGTTTGGGGAATAACGACACCAATTTAATGCGTCGCGGCAGAGCGCTCCTCGCTCCGTAAACGACGAGGTCAAAGCGGCGGCGGTCGTCGGCTGGGACTCTTGCTGCGGTCGTGTGGACGAGCCACGGCTGCAGCACGGCTCCGACGGCCTCTCGCGCCACGCGGGCCCAAGCACGCTCGACGACTTGGCACGTCTGGCCAACAAGCCTATCCTCGGGCACGTAAGGGCATGGCGCCACCACATCCTGGGTTGGGGCCGCAACGGTTCGCTGGCGGTGCGCCATGCTCCGGCATGCGGTCCTGCTTAGAAGCGGAGAAGTGCGCACGAACCCCGCGGCAAAAAGGGCAGGAGCACACGATCGTAAGGGTCCGTGATGCATGGTACTGTCAACCATGCGGCCAGTCGCTGACATCTTTCGCCACTGGCGAGGCGGGGCGAGCGACGTCGAGGAGCATGCGCCATGTGGGGCAATCGCTCCAGCCTTGGTCCTGTAAGGTGCGATGTGCTTGCGCCGCTTCCGCGAAGCAATGCGTGCCATCTCCGGCCTCCGATTCGAGGAGTTGCACGTAGCTGGCCGCGCATCGTTGCAGGCGTGCGCGGTGGCAGGCGACGCGTATGCCACAAACTGCAGTCAGCGGCGCTGTTGGCTGCTTAGGCCTTAAGCCTTCCGCAAACGTGGAAGCGATTGCGCACGGGAGGTGCATCTTGCAACGTTGGAGTTGGTGGCGCGCTGGAACCGGCGTTGATAGGCAGGGCATCCTGCGTATCTCCCGACCAGTGAGTGCCTTTGAATCAATTTACGCAGGGTACCGGGGGACGGACAAAGAAGCGTTCTTTATGCGCGCTGGGTTGTCAGCGGCCTTTGTGCCAAACCGACTTCATGTCGCATGCATGGTTGCCTTGTGTAGCCTACTCCCAAGCGCTAAAATCTGTGCATTCTTGCCTCCGTGTACGAATCCCCCTTGAACAGAGCGCAAGGAAGGGGTCGCGGCAGAGTCGTTGCAATCATGCTGTTTGCACCTTGACCGGCAGTCCCGAGAGAGCTATGAAACAGATCATTCCGTTAATCATTTCAAGTGTGTACGCCTTGAACAGCGGTTCCCAAAGAGCTATGAAACAGATCAATCCATCGGGCATTTCAAGTGTTTATGCATTGAACAGCGCACCCGAGAGAGCTATGAAACAAATCAGTCCGTCCGGCTGTTCAAGTGTGTGCGCCTTTGAACAATGGTCCCGAAAAAGCGAAGGTGAGGCCCAAAGACAAAGCTTTGGATAACCAGGTGGGGTTTAAGGTTGGGTTTGGGCTGAGGGTTCCGTTTGATGTCCCAATCACTCAGCGATTGGAACAAATCCAAAATGGCTTCCAAGCACCACAACTTGGCACAAGAAACAGTTTCTTAATGGCCGGGTTCGGAAGTGTCTTAGCACGATGATGTTCGCCTAGCTCAGCGAATCATGGGAAACACCAAGCACTGGCATGGATTCAAGAAGAATTGACGCGACCCTCCCGGAACCTTTCCCGCAGGCTCTGCAAGGATCTATACGACATCGATGCGACTCAGGATGCTAACGGTAGTAGTGGTAGTAATAGTAGTAGTAGTAGCCGTCGTCCTCGTAGTAATGGTAGTAGTAGTAGTAG